ACTTGTTCAGCATATAAAAACCATGGAAAGTATGCTTTTTGGTTTCACACCTAAGCGCTTACGAAAACTCGCATATCAACTAGCGAAAAGTAACAATATCCATGAAAGATTCAGTTCTGTCAAAGAAGAAGCAGGTCTGGACTGGTATAGAGGATAGAGAGGTATAGAGTTGATAGAGGCACAAGTTGGTGACAGTTCATCTTCACCAAGATTGGTCGAGCCAGTTCTGCAAAAACCCTGTGATGCTGACGGTGTCGGTTTAAATACACCAACAGCTGTTGGTTGTCGAAACGCTCTTGAACATAAACCTAAAGTCCGTGTTTTGCAAATTTCGCCTTTACCAAAAGTGGAAGTGGGCAGCATTGGCAAAACATCGAAATCGAAAGGTAAAACTGCTATTTTGACTGCCAGTCCTTACAAGCAAGGCTTAGAAACAAAAAAGCGTTTGGCTGAAGAGAAGATAGCTGCAATGGAGGCTAAAAAAGTGAAAAAAGCTCTTGCGGCAGCAGAAAAAAACAAGAAGACTAGCAAAACGAAAGAAAAGAAGCCTAAATCTGCACTAAATACAAACCAAAAAAGAGGAGTGAAACAGACTGGGCCTATCCAATCAGTTTGTCCAGAATGTGGAATCATGGAAAAATCTGTCGAGGATAAGGTGAAGGCGTGTGACTGGATTTCATGCAAAACCTGTCTGACATGGTACCATGAATCGTGTGCAGAAGTGAATGGAGTATTTGATGACGATTACTTTTTATGTGTTCAATGTTGTGAGTAGCACCACATGCTACTCGTTTGAACGTGAACTTTCTATTGCTAACTGTTCATCATGAATAGATCTAACTGTAAAACCTATTCACGAAGCTGCAGAAGTGAAATGTATTCATCGTTATTAATAGCTTAATAGTTAGTTTTTGTGTTGAAATGATGAGTTGTTTATTGTTCAGATCTTGCTATTGCATGATAGTATCCTGATAGCGTAGACGCAAAATTAACAAGTTATCATTTGAATAATGTTCTGATCTGATTTTGTCACTGACAGAGCACAAGGTTAAAACGGGCCCGGGGCCCATCTTAACCTGGCCAGTTAAAATGGGCCCGGGCCCGTTTTAGGCTTAGCTATGGGATAAAATGGGCCCCTAATCACAAGTTTTAAAAGTATGATTAATTAATTACTTTGTTATATTAATCCAACTGATTATGACCCATTAATTACATTGTCATCTAAGTTATGCTATTCTTGCATTAGGCATTCAATACTGGTATCTATATCGGGAAAAAATGAACTTCTATGCTAAGGGGCCCGTATTAGACCACGCTCCCCTACATAGAAACATAATTAACTTAAATGTTCTTAAAACATCTTGTGGAGGAATAAAAAGAATATTCGCAAACACTAAAAACCCGCCAAATTTGCGAACAAAGTAATTCTATTGGTTCAAAAAACACGCTGACTAAGGGAAATAAAGTTCTAGAGTATTCTGTTGAAATGTTTTAGGAATTGTATTATTTACGATTTGTTGCGTTTTGAGATATCTAGCATAAATTTTTTTAAGAATATATTATCAAATGAACTTTAATATTATGGCTCATTTTTAATACTATATATACTTTATATAATATATATACTTTATATACTTAAAGTATATATACATATATATACTTTAATCTTATGGCTCATTCTCGGAGCCACATCTGTAAAGCCGTAAAACTTTTAAACTATTATCATTTGTTTACAAAAATAAATGTTTTATAACATATTTTTTAAATTGTCAAAATTTTGAAAGTTAACTACAAATTATATATTTTATTAGTATATTCTTAATTTTTATATCTTTTCTTAGTGCTTGGTTTAATTAATTGTTTGTTAGATTTGTGAAAAACTAACGAACAATTAATAATATAAACTTTCAATAAAATAAGTAACTATAGTTAGGTATTTGAGTAAAATTTAATAGTAAAATTTCTTAAAGAATTTCTAGAATGTTTCTAATTTTTGTAATAACAGGGTGGACACTCAAATTTGAAAAAAAAATAAAAAAATAAAAAAATAAAAAACAATAAAATGATTTCAATTAAAGACCAGATATTTTTTCAGAATTTGCAAATCGCAATGGCTTAATTCAACCTTTGATATATACTTGTAACATTAAAATTGTACAAATATATTTTACAAACAGATGACGCAACATATTTTCGCTTTCCTCTTAAAAAAACAAACAAATAAAATATAGGCAAGTAAAAAATAAAAACAGTTCACATAATATTTAAACTATTATTGTTATTTTTTATTTAAGTCTATCTTAATTTCCTATTTTGTTATTTTGCTTTATTTTTTTTTAAAACTTTTTTTAAAAACCCATATAATAAATTTGCAAATGGCCGTGACCAAGTTGTCTAAATTAAAATACTTATGCTAAATTGTCTAACTACCGTCCCATTAGTCTCTTTTCTATCATAAGCAAGGTTTTCAAGATTTCAATTTACAAACACTTACCCTTTTATTTTGAATCTAATAACATACTCTCTGATCATCAATATGGATTTCAATATTCTCGTTCTACAGCTGATTTGCTAACAGTAATAACCAATAAGTTTTATTGTATATTAGATAGATGTGGAGAGGTTTAGACAATCGCTCTTGACATTTCTAAAACTTTTGATAAAGTTTGTCTAGAAAGTCTTCTCTATAAGCTTTATTCTTACGGTGTATCAGGTAACATCACTAATTTTAATATTAAAGTTATCCTCAATTATTTGAGCTATTCAGCACAAAGATTTATTTTAAAACGTCTGGAAGAGAAAAAAAACTGAACAACTATTTTTCAAGATTGCAAAAAAGTGTAGCATTATTGAGTCAATTTTGAAATTGAAATCGTTTAATGAAAAACTGTTTATTGTCAACTTTTGTAGTTTTTTGATTTGTAATTTTTAGAGACAGGTTTTAATATAAAATACTTGTTAAATATGACATAAATTGGGAAATATTATACATATGTTTTTTAATGTGCCCTGCAACACATTGACAATTTTAATCATTATCTGTCTTAAATTATTTCTATAAAACATTAATTATTGCTTAAATTTATAAAAAGCTGTCTGTAAATTTGTTAAGTGTAAAATCTATAAATATTTTCTAACAAAAAAAAATATTCAAAATAATAAATGTTGTTTACCAAAATTCTGGTTAAAATGGAGGTGGAGAGCTTAGAGTAAAACAACAAAATATTTCTTGGTTAAAACTTTTATTACTTTGTTTTACGTAAAAAAAATCTGCCCAAACATTTTTTTTTTTTGTTATTCTCTTATTATAACACAACTTGACTCAACACTTCAGGATCTTTTTTATAAAATTACTTTATACACTCTCAGATGCATATATATTAGTGATATTAGAGCATTAATTATAATTTATTGAATCAAATTAGACAAATTGGAACTTTTATTTTAAACAGCACATGACAGAAAAAATAAAAAAGAGTGAGTTTTTAGACATTTTTTTAATCTTCAAAATAGTGTAACAAAGAAAAAACTTATTAAAACTAATAATGCTTAAGCATCATTTTTTACCTAATAAATGAAAATTTTTATTAAAACAGGTGATATTTATTTTTATTTGAATGTATAAAAGCACAATTAAAATCATGTAAAATTTGGAGATTTTTTAAAAACTTGTATATTTAAGTAAAAAAAGTTCCACATGGTCACACTTTGTTTTTAATTTTATTTTGCTTTTGACACTTATCAAGAGCAATAATTAAAATTAAAAACTGAAAAAAAATCCATATCTGCTACTTCTAAAGATAGTATAGCAGTTATAAATATAAAAACTTTGTCATAGTCCTAAGTGAGGGAAAGTATTTGCTATTAAGTATGCTTCCCTCGATCATAATTACAATATTCAATTTTTTTTATAATTATTTGTAGCAGAGATTCTAAAACCTAAAGATCTTTTTAAAAGAATTTGATTTTTTCTAAGAAAATTGACAAGAGTTGACATTGCAGCAACACAGAAATATTTTTGAAATATATATTTCTAATTTTTGATTATTGCTTCACTGTGTACAGTTTTTTTAACGAAAATTCTTTTTGATTAAATTCTAATGATTGATTTGTTCATGATAGTTTGTTAAAACTATTTTGTTTATAAAAACATTTTTTTTTTATTCTTTGCAAATAGATTTTTTTTTTGGTAAAAGGCTTTTGAATTTGAGGTGTTAAACTATTTTTAGTAGATTACAAAGCGGCTTCTGGTGTTGTTCTTGAGTAAATCTTTTATGGTTTAGTGACTAAACTATCAAAAAAGGATAACTAAACTATTGCTTTTAAATTCAAAGTTGGAATTTATAAATAAAATTAATTAAAAAAACTCTATCAAAAGTACATTACAACTTTTATGAAAAAATTTAAATAAGTTGAATAAAAACATTATAAATAAAAAAATATATACTTTATAATAAATTATAATTCAAATATTATAAAAACTGTTTTAATTCAAAAAACCTTTAAAATTTTGTTTTTACTATTAAAAAAATATATTTGATTAAGTCTTTTGTAAATTTTGAAATGTTTTAAATAATAAAAAAACATTATAAAATCTTTACATATAAGATAATCAATTCCATTAAAAGAAAAAATCATGCCTTATGGCAATAAGTAACTAAATTTTGATTATATAATATATTGCTTGTAATTATTCGATCACAAAATATGATCGAATATATATATATATATATATATATATATATATATATATATATAATATATATATATATATATATATATATACATATATATATATATATATATATATATATTCATATATATATATATATATATATATATATATATATATATATATATATATATATATATATTCATATTTATATATATATATATATATATATATATATATATATATATATATATATATATATATATATAATATATATATATATATATACAACAATTAAAAAAACTTAAAATTATTATAAGTTCATTACCTTTTTATATTAAAAAAACCAGCATATTTGTTTAATTTAACCTCCCTTTGACAACGAATGCAAAAGATGAATTTTTAACGAAGGCTGAAAGGCTTACTTTTATTAATTACAATAGGTAATTAATAAAAGTAAGCCTTTTATTAATTACCTATTGTAAAATTAATCCTTTTATTAATTACCTATTACAAAGGCTGAAAGCCTTTTATTAATTACCTATTACAAAGGCTGAAAGGCTTACTTTTATTAATTACAATAGCGTTTTAAATTATAATAGACTTCAAAACAATTATACACACCCATTTTATTCACAAATTTTTATAGATGATTTTGAACTAATAAAACGCAGACGATAAAAGTTATAATTTTTAATACTAATACTAATACAAACATTATTTTTCGAGGTCTGTGTTTTGTCAGGTTTTCAAAATCTTAAAACGCGTGAAAGCTAACCATTGACTTGAAATTCCGAACATAAATCTGCAACGCCCGGAAATCTCTTTTTTAGTTTCGGTTAAATATCCTTAAAAGGTCGTCCATAAAGTACATACGTTTTTTTTCGCTTTTTTTGATGTTGCCTAAAGCTTGATGCCTAGCATTAACTATCAGTTGCATATATATTTTTTATTAATCAGCCTTACTTTATTTAAATTATACAGTTGATGGTTGTTGCTAAAATTTAGAAGTTTTAAGCACCATCCAAAAGTTGTGTTTTTTGCTGGTTCAGTTATTTGTAATGTATTCTTAACGAACATTTGAATGTTTAAAAGAGGTTTGAAAGACATTTAAAATACATTTAGAATGTAACTTTTAAAAACAAATGCCCGTGGGGTTACCTGCGAGTTACCTTTATTTATTAAAAAAGAAATTCTAAAGGATTGTAAAGTTTGTTTGTAAATGTTTTGTTTGTATTATTTGAATTTGTTTTAGATCAAGATTTAACAAGTTTTTTTTTCCCAGAAAAATATGTACAAGGTAAATTTACAATGAATATATTACTGGTAGGACTTCCAGAAGATCACATGATCTTATCATGAAGCCCTTTACAATCTATATAACGAATTAAAAGGTAGAAAATTTACAAATATTAAAAATTACATAAGCGTTAGAATATTCTTTAAATGTTAAGCAAGTTTTAACATAATATTTTATAATATGGATATATAACATTCTCAATATTGAACAATATTATAATATAAAGTATTCAGCATATATTGTTTAAATAATATTCATCACACAGTCGACAAAAATATCAAATAACTTAAAATACTAAAAATAAATAAATATATTTTGTGTTGAAAAGATTATTTCTTTTGTTTTCTTTTTAAAGGAGGAATAAGACCATTTCAAAGAAAAATCAAAGTTAGGTAAAACTATTTTATTCTAAAGAAATGGACCACGATAAGAAATACAAAACTGGTCAATTTTTGTTTTGCAAAACGGCTCTTGAATATTTTTACTATCACGAAGTTCATATATGTTTTTTGGTTTCAAATTATAGAGATTTATAAATACACTTGGAGATAAATTTTCTTTACATTTAAACATAAAACATAAAATATTAAAAATATTTAGTTCGTATATATTTAAAGCTTTCATTTCTATAAGAAGTGGTGTTGAGCTTGAAAAACGATTTCCAAAATTAATTATGCGAGCTGCGTGTTTCTGATGCCGATAGAGAGATTTAAGTTTGGTTTTGTGAGCGCTTCCCCATATAATATTGGCATAGTTTATATGGCAATGAATAAATGAATAATATAGTTGAGTTAGTTGCTTTTTATTTAGAATATATTGAGCTTTGTATAGAACTCCAATGTTTTTAGCAACTTTCATTGAAATACTATCAATTTGCTGACTCCAAGATAAGTTTTCATCTATTATGACTCCTAAAAATTTTGTAAATTTTTCTCTTTTTATAATTGTATTGTCAATGAATAGGTCAGGTAAGATATTTTGGATTCTCTTTTTTTTAGAGGTTGGGTGAAAAAGTATAAACTTTGTTTTATCCGTATTCAAGGACAATTTATTTTTTCTAAACCAATATGATATTCTTTTTAATTCATTATTCATATTATTAAAAAGTATTTCTATGTTTTCGTGCGACTGAAATAAATTTGTATCATCTGCAAAATTTACGGTCGTTAGGGTAGAAGCTTTGTAAAGATCATTTATGTATAATAGAAATAATAGTGGTCCAAGTATGGACCCTTGGGGGACACCGCACGTTATATTTTTTATTATTTGCGATGAAGATTCTTTGTTATAAACAAATTGTTTGCGGTTACTTAGATAGCTTTTGAACCAATTTAGGGTTTTATCTTTTATAACATAGCTCTTTAGCTTTTTTATTAAAATATGATGATTAACAGTATCAAAAGCTTTTGACAAGTCAATGAATATGCCTAGTGTGAATTTAGAATTCTTAAATGAATCGGCAATACTGCGTGTTACTTGGAGAATAGCGTGTTCAGTAGAACTGTTTCTCTGAAAGCCAAATTGATTTTTATAAAGGAGTTTATTATCAATAAGATAAGTGTAAATTCTATTATACATTATTCTTTCTAATATTTTTGAAAAGACCGGTAGAACTGAGATAGGACGATAGTTTGTTATGTTGGTATGGTCACCTGTTTTAAAGATTGGAGTTACTTTGGCTATTTTCAAACTATTTGGAAACGATCCTTGAGTAATAGATGCTTTGAAGACTTTGAAGACGATATCTTTAATTTTATTAAAAGAGTCGATTACAATATTTCCATTTATATCATCAGGCCCTATTGCTTTATTCCTTTTTAATGATTTAAATGCAATTTCGAATTCATTATAAGTTAGATTTGAAAAATTTATAGTTGAATTTGGTGATGATATAAATTCATCAACAGAGTCGTTGTCTACATAAGGAATCTTGTTTGATAGGTTATGTCCTATTGACGAAAAAAAGTTATTGAATTCGGCTGCGATTTCATTTGAATCGGTAATTAACTTATTTTCAAATTTAATAGCATTCGGCATCGTATTTGTATTTGTCTTATGTTTGCTAGTAATTTCTTTCATTATTTGCCACACCCGCCTTGAATTATGCTTGTGTTTTATATGCAAGTCAGAGTAGTAAATTTGTTTGGCTTTTTTTCGGAGTTTTTCAAATAGATTTTTGTAAACTGTGTAGTTATTTTTATGTTTGTCGGATTTATTTTTAAGATATTTAATATAGAGTTTTTGTTTAATTTTTAATGATTTTTTTATTCCTTTAGTTATCCTAGGACAAGATATGTCTTTGGCGTTAAGAACTATTTCTCGAATAGGAAAATTTGCTTCATATAATTTGTAAAATATATTAAAAAAAGATTTGTAGATGATATTTATATCCTCATTAAAGTTTATATAGCTCCAGTCTTGGTGTAAAAGTTGCTCTTTAAATAAATTTAAGTTATTGTTGCTATAAATTCGTTTTTTTAGTGTTATTTTACCATTCGTATTTGTTTTGTGGTCAGCGCCTAAGCAGAAAAAAATTGGAAAGTGATCCGAAACATCAGTTTTTATAATACCTTTTTTGAGTGTAATATTGAAATAGTAATTGGTAAGAACGTTGTCAATTAAGGAGGATGAAGACTTTGTTATTCTAGTAGGTTTATTTATAATGGGTATTGTTCCCGTTTCAAATAAATGATTATAAAACTTTGTTATATATTTTTTTTTCTTTATACTGGAAGCAGTCAGGGTTGAAATCCCCCAGTATATAATTTTTTTCTTTTCTTGGCTAGTTTTTCCTATTATATTATGAACTAGATAATTGCTTAGGTACTCAGTTCTTCCGGTTGGTGGCCGATAACAGCAGCTTAGTAAAATATTTTTAGATTTTTTATTTATTATTTCAACCGTTAAATTCTCAATATTATCATCAGAAACACTCATATCGCTTCGAATATTATACGCAAGGTTTTCTTTTATGTAAAAAAGAACTCCTCCTCCACGCTTATTAACATTACGCTCTAAGAAGACTGTATTAAAACCTGTAAGATTAGCGTTTGATTTAAAATCTTCCTCTGTACACCAAGTTTCAGTTAAGCAAATAACGTTAAAAAAATTTTCCGTTTGACAAATCATATTTGAAAAGTTATCAAAATTTTTTTTTAAACTTCTGATATTAATGTGGATTATATTAAAATAATCACGATTGTCATTATTTTTAAATATGCTTTTAATTTTATCTGGATAAAAGTAAGAGCATTCGAATTTTGATCCATTAATCTCATTAAAATAATTAATATTAAAATAATTAATATCTGGATCATTAAAATAATTAATATCTGGATCAGATTCATTGTCTAAATTAAAAGTATTTGTTTAAAATAAATTTTGCATCAAATTTTGCAACTGCCACTATACAGATCAAATTTTGCAACTACCACTAAACAGATCAAATTTTGCAACTGCCACTATAGTTTAGCATTTAGTATAAAAGTATAGTTTAGAATAAAAAAATTTTGTTAGTTGGTGTTTACGGGTTCTTACTTAGATAGAATTGTATGTTAATGCGCCGTTTTGTTCCAACAACAACAAAATTTTAATTATCTTTTTGCATTTAAAAGTTTTAATTGCATTTTCTAAATCTATTATTTATCTAAAAAGGTGGATTATGCTCAATAGGTATATATTTTGTTAAACTTTTTAGAGTTTTAAAAACATTTGCATATTTGCTTTTGGAGATACAATGCCAGTGCTATAGCCCTGGGCCCCACAGTTCGGAGGCTTCTGTTGATAAGAAAAATATTTTTAAAGGAAACTCTGAAAATAAATTTTTTGATTTATTATGGAAAGAGGTCTGCTGCTTTAAAACAGCCTGTGCTCCAAAAAGTCTTGATTCACTGCTACACATTGCCTTAATATATTATATTTTATATGTAATCTAGGAATAAAAATGTACAGGGAAAAGCAGTTTGTTAATTAATGGTGTATTTTTCTGTCATATGCCTTCAATCGATCTGCATAAAAAATCGTGCACACGAATATGAAAGAACCTTGACGGGGTTCATGTGCTTTAAACAAATACCTTCCAAACAGATACTCTTTCAACCTTTTTACTGTGAAGGTGGAGCATCAGCATATATTCTGAATTTAGTTTATACTCAATAAATAGAAATTTGACTGTACTATTTGTGTTCAAAAATGAGATAAAGGTATAATTTCATTTCAATTTAAATTTATGAATTTTTATAGAAAAAATAATGACTTAAGTTTAGTAAGAATTTTTAACATACATAGTTAAAAAATATTTGACTCAGTCACAAAACTTTAG